ATTGGACGCACGTGAAAAACTAAAGTCAAATACATGTTGACAATGATTGAACACACGGCACATGCTACGAACTGGCTCATTCAAACCATAATTTGTCCTGGAAGTATCGATGAACAAAAAGGCGTGTGTACGTAGCTGACGTCTCCTAATGTTTATGTTTAGCTGTGTAAGTAGCGAAGGGCAGTCGATGAGAGACGTTAACAGATCACTGACAAAGCAAGCTTTTGCAACATCACGTCTAACACTGAGTAGGTCCAGATGAATGAGTTTGCAACGACTCTCGTAACTAGGAAGATCCAGACGGTCAGTCCAGGGAAGGTGTCGTAGAGCATAACGGATGAATTTCCGTTGAATCTTCTCAACGCGTTGAATTCCATTTTGGTAGTATGGACTCCAAACAACGGAGGAGTATTCAAGTATGGGTCGCACCAAGCTGCAGTACAAGGCCTTTAAGCAGTATACATCTTTGAAGTGCTTGGCAAAGCGAAATATGAAGCCTAGCTGGGAAGATGCTTTCGAGATGATGTATGTCAGATGAGCGTTAAACGTTAGCTTCGAGTCCAAAAGCACTCCCAGGTCTTTAACCAAGGATTCTCGTGCTAGAGACACTCCGGACAAGCTGTAGTTATGGATGAGCGGTGAACGTTTGCGAGTGAAGGAAATCACTGAGCACTTGGATGTGTTTAATACCATACGATTTCTTCTGCACCAATCAGCAAACGTTTCGAACTGATGTTGTAAGAACTCGGCATCGTCTAGTTTCTCGATGATCGCATAAATCTTGAAGTCGTCTGCATAGGATTTCTTGTGACACCTTAGAACTGAGTTGACGTCGTTCATAAACAACAAAAACAGAAATGGCCCCAGATGACTCCCTTGCGGTACACCGGATGTAACAGGAAACGAAGTTGAAAACTGGTTGCCGAGCCGTACACGCATGTTACGCCCCATCAGATATGAACGTAGCCATTTGAGTAGCCTAGCATCAGCGCCTAATTTATCATACTTGGCCAGAGCGATTTCGTGGTTCATCTTGTCAAAAGCTGCTGACAAATCCATGTAGATTGCGTCAATTTGGCAGCCACGCTCTATCGAGCGAGCAAGAAATGAAGTGAACGTGGTTAAGTTTGTGGTAGTAGAGCGCTTGGGCATAAAGCCGTGTTGATCTTCCGAGATGTAGTGCGAGCAGCCGTGTGAAAGGAAGTCCAGAACAATCAGCTCGAAGAGTTTTGAGGTTGCACATAGAGCGGCTATGCCACGGTAGTTTGAAACTGTTTGCTTACAACCTTTCTTATGTACAGGAAACACGTACGATTCCTTCCAAATAGTCGGGAACACGCCTGATTCCAATGAGAGGTTGAACACAGTAGCGAGAGGTGCTGAAAGAGAGTGGATGCATTTATTCAGCACTATAGACGGGATACCGTCTGGGCCGACTCCGGTAGTATTTTTCAATCGTCTGCTAGCGGAAAGCACCGTGTCACTTGATATCGGAGGAAGTTCACCAAGCGGAGGAAGTACAGGCACATTACTCACGGCATCAACAATATCCTGCGGGCTAGTTGGGTCATTGCAAAAAACTCCGCTAAATTGTTTCCTAAACAAGTCAGCGATGTCGTCAAGGGCAGAAGCTTCTGTGTCACCATTACGCATAGTGGAGGGAAGTCCCACTTCTTTCCGCTGGCCTTTCCTGTTTCCTGTCCCGTGGGGAACAACCTTGGAGTGCCCCAGGGAAGTGTATTAGGGCCCCTTTTATTTATTATGTATATTAATGACTTGCGACGTGTTTTACGGTTTTGCGACATTAACCTTTTTGCAGATGATACTGTGTTATTCATTGCAGCTAAGGATTTAGAAGTTGCCGTCTCACACTTGAATGAAGACTTGCAGTATCTAAGTAGATGGTTGAAGTGTAAGCAGTTAAAATTGAATACAAGTAAAACTAAATTTATGGTAATTTCGCGGAATCGATTAAATGAGAACGTCTCTGTTGTAATTGATGATGAGACTATTGATCGCGTTCAGGAGATTAAATATGTTGGCGTGATTATTGATGACAAACTTAAGTTCAACTCTCACATTGACAATGTCATCAAGAAAATTGCCAAGAAGTATGGAATTCTATGTCGATTGAAAAACGATTTAACTATTGCCAGTAAAATACAGCTATACAAATCAATCATCTGTCCTCATCTAGACTTTTGCCCATCCATTTTATTTCTGTCTAATGCAACACAAATATCGAGATTACAGCGCTTGCAGAATAAAATAATGCGTTTGATTTTGAGATGTAATAGATTCACTTCCTCAACTTTGATGCTAGACGCCTTACAATGGTTGTCGGTGAAGCAAAGAATTGTATATTTGACTATGGTGTTCATTTTTAAAGTAGTTAACGGTTTGCTGCCTCGATATTTGTGTGATCGAATTGAAAGAGGAAGTGACTTTCATAGATATAATACTAGAAACGCGGATGAAATAAGAACACCACATTTCTTGACTTGTGCTTCACAGAATTCATTATTTTTTAAAGGAATAAATGTTTTCAATTCGATGCCTAGACACATTAAACGTTCAACAACATTAGCAGAATTTAAGAGACATTGCATTTCACACGTTAAAACTGTCTTTTGAACGGTTATCCAGTGATTTTTTTTTTATGAATTGACAAATTATGTATCTTGACGAAGTTATTTTTAACGGATTATTTTGCAAGGATAGCTGTTATAATGACTTTTTAATAATTATTGTAGCACTGCAAAAACTATTTTGTTCGCCACGATGGTGATGATGGATTTTTGATACATGATTTAATAGTAGTAGTAAAAAAAATAGTAGTCTACAAAGGTTTGAGCCTCGCGCGCGTATTACGGATATAGAGGACTGAATTTAACATTTGATAAAAAAAAAAATGCAATTTTGAAGCTTATTTGGAAGATACCTTGAGTTAGTAGTAAGTTTTCTGGCAAATGTTGGGGGTTCGTGAGCATTCCTGACATTGCTGAAAATTATGATAGCATCAGATTGCGGGGTTACTAGTGTAATAGGATGCTTTGTTGATTGTTCATTAACTCTTGATTGCTTGTAATACTTATGAATATTTTAGGTGGACAAAAAGGCGAACTAAGAGGTGGACGCCTGAGCTTTTCAACATTTATATCGCTGTGAAGCAACTGTAAACTCTAGAGGGAATTTATATCTGTAACTGAAACCAGTTCGATTTTGTTTGCCAACCTGGTTAAAATGTCATATTTAATTATCTTAAAGATAAATCGTCCAGCTCAAACCTTTGTAGGGGTAAGAGGTGGGACCATCATCATCATCATCACTCCAGTTACAGTATGTTTTGCTTCTCAAGCATAAACATCCTTCGCCTGAGCTCGACATTCCACTCATCGCCTAACGTAAGCGTAGCAAGGGGTGCATCCACCACAGAGTGTTATGTCTGTTTGTCTGTGGTTGTAGATTAGTTGTAGCTGTAAATAGTAGTTTTAAGTAGTCTCTTTTTTCCAATTCAAAACAAACCAATCCCACTAAGGTGGTCATACTTTAACAGGCCTGATAGGACTAGGAACAGTAAATAATAACTAAAAATTTCAAAATAACTAAAGTTGAAAAGACGCATCTGTGTCACTTGAAAATTCATACATGTAAACCAAACAAATACAAGAAATATAGATCATTCAAAGTCAAAAAAAAAAAGATCTGGTTCAAACGGACGTTATTTATTCAGACCTATCCGCAGCATTCGACAAGTTGAACCATGCTATTGCGATTGCTAAGCTCGGTAGACTCGGTGTATGCGGTAATCTTCTGAGTTGGTTTCGATCATATCTTACCGGTCGGCAACTAAAGGTTGCCATAGGAGATTGCAGATCAGCTAGCTTCTTCGCCACATCAGGGAAGCCACATGGGGCCGTTAATTTTTATACTGTACTTCAACGACGTGCTGACTGTCACTTTCTCCAACGTCAACTGAATGTATTCGCTAGTTGGTGCAGGTTAAACAGAATGGTAGTGAACCTAGCCAAATGCTCCGCTATTACGTTCTCACGAAAACAACAACCGATAATATTTAGCTATGACCTGATCGGCTCGACAATCGAACGCGTGAATCAGGTGAAAGACTTATAGCAAATTCGTTTATTATCGGGGTTGGAACCAGTTCCAACCCAGTGCGAAACCGAACTTTTTGTCAGTGCAAACCTCAACCTGAGCTAGGTTTTAAAAACAAACGAGCAAACTGACGTTTGTCAGAAAACAAGCAGACCCAATCCTGATACCCGATCCAGGTTGGAACTGAATAATAAACGAATTCGCTATTAGGTGTGATCTTGGATTCGCAGCTTTCATCAAAGCAACACAGTGAGAAAAGCTACATTTGAAAGAGATAAATCGTCGAATTTCCGAAAATCTGAATGCTACAAAACTGGTTTATTCACCCCTGACGGTGCGATATCTGTCGGTTTTGACGATGAAATGTAGTATTCAATTGCTCTATACCCTACCTTATGAGAACGGTAAAAATGTCGTCATCATATTTAACTATTCTTAGTAGTTAGGGCCTCCCTTAGCTCAGTCGGTAAAGGCGCAGCTACAAAGCAACACCATGCTGCATGTAGCTGGGTTCGATTCCCGATCCGGTCTAGGAATTTTCCGAGTCGGAAAATTTGTCGACTTCCCTTGGCATAGAGTGTGATTGTACTTGCCACACAATTATACTAATGCAAAAATGGTACAGGCATCGAAAGCTCTCAATTAATCACTGTGGAAGTGCATCTAGAACACTAAGTTGAGAGCACGTAATAAACTAATATGCGATATGCAATAAGCTTGGAATGCGAAGAAGAAGAAGGAGTAGCTTAAAAGCTCTTAAAATCATCGATTTCCTTAAATGGTGGAATAATATTGTCTAAAATTTGTAGTTTTCTCCTTTTTGTCGCCAAACAAATCGTTCTAAATTTTCGAAAAAAGTCAATTTTATTGATTCATGAGCTTTTGTTCAACTTGCAGCATATAATGTAAATTTATGCAAACATATTTTTTATTATTTGCTTTGTTCATAATTACTATACCACTGCTGTGCCGATTTACCACACTACTCCTGTTCTGAGAGTATTGATATGTGGTCTGTGTATTATTGTGATTGTCCACATTAACAACTCCGATACACTTCTTTTCATTGAGCTCGAAAGATATGTCTTGCTTAGGTTGATCCCCGAATATAACAGAATACACGCCAGGCACTCCTCGAATCATGCAAGCAAACCAACGTTCAGTCTTTGTATTAGGGTTCTTATCGATCGTAAGCCTCCATTCAAATTCATCCAGGGCTTGAAAGTTTATCTCAAAGCTTATTTTGTTTGGTATAGTTGACCCTGGGCTTGGAATGCTGCAAAACAATAAAAATGCTTGTACTTATGGAATTATTCTACTTTGATCGTGTTAACTTTGATTACTACCACTGAGGAATATATTCTGATGTATCTGGCAATTCCGTTATTAATCGTTCAGTTTCCACAATTTTCTTCATCGTTAACGGACTACGAAAAAAATCGATTAAAAAATGATTTAATTTAACTTCACTAAATTATGTAAATACTTACTTTGCTTCACCGGCAACCAGGCCTTCTGATTCTTTTTGTAAATCGTCGATTAACTCCATGTCATTTTTGAATCGACGCTCCTCATCCTGCAACTTACTCAAAACCTTTTTGATATGTTCTTTGCGTTCGTTAACCCCATCTATGGCCGTCTTCAACTTATGCTGGTAAGTCATGAATGCTTCATCTTAAGAAGAAGACAAATAAATGTGAAAGATACAACCCCAGTATTTATGCGTCAACCACAATTATGGGCCACTTCCATTTCATTAACACGCAAAACTGACTGACGCAGAATAGTGACTAGCTGGCCCGTAATACTGGAACGTCAACTTGAACTCGCTACATTAAACTTTAGCAGTCTAACATATTTGCTACTATTTGGGCATATACAATTAAAACATACAGGAAGTAGTATTCTCCATTTATGTAAAAAATATGAATTGTGAGATTGTCCAACCAAATATTCTAATGCCACTTACCCAACGGTACGACATCTCCCTTATGCTCAGCGTGTTCCTTGGAAAAGAAACACTTTGCGCAAATGCTATCCATGCAAGCGTAGCAAAACATGGAAAGCTGTTGATTCGCATGCTTACTGCAATGGTCTTTACTGGAAATGTCCAAGCCAGCAAGCAGTTGTTTTATGGATCCCATTATTGAATCAATCGAACGGCCCTTCATCAGCGAATTGCTCGCAATGGGTGTTCGACAGTTCGGACAGTTCCTGGAAGTATTGAACCACACATAAATGCACTTTTCACAGAAAATCTTGGAACAATGTGGGCACAGCCGTGCATCGTTAACATCTTGATAACAGATTCCACACTCCAAATCCTTGACTAAACTTGCGAATTTCGGATCGATCGCTTTGGCCATTTCCGTAAATAATTGACTGCACCAGAAATTAAAAACGAAACAAAGACCACCGTTCAGTACTAAAGCCCTACAGTAAAAGTATGGACGACTGTCACCACAAAACTGAAAAAAAGCTGTTCCAATGGTTCCAATCGAGCAAAGCAGTGCATTTTGAAGGTTCGATTGGAACAAATTTTGACAGGCGTCCATACTTTTACTGTAGGGCTTTATTCAGTACTGATGAAAAAAGCTCAATTTAGTGCTGATGAAAAAAGCTCAATTTAGGATTGGGCGATCTTGGATCAATCGTTGGAAGAGTGATCTTTTTCATTTCGATTTCCGATTGATCGATTGTTTGTGCAACTTTGTGCTAAAGAGCCTGAATTTATAAAGAGGCGACATCTTATCCATTTGACAGGTCTTCTGCTCGATTGGAATGACTTTTCCTATGACTTTGACACACAATCGATTGTTCCAATTTTGACATGTCGTCTCTTTGTAAATTCAGGTTCTTTACTTTGTGCATGTATCTCACAACACTCGACAAAGAGTGTGCGTGGTTCTCCCATTTACTTCGCACACTCTCTTCCAACTAATCTGTGAGAAAGCGATTCAAACAATGAGCGGTACACTCCGTGCGGCGCAGGGAGCGAATATAATACAACAAGCGCTTATGTTTTCTCTGAATTCTTTGCAGTCTTTGTTTACCACGACTTCATGCATACATCCAAAACATAAATCACATTTCCGATGGAAAATATCCATTAGAATTTCACATAACTTTCATATTGTGATCTAATAATTGGAAGATTGCCGCAAAAGCTCAACGCAGATGTCACCCCTGCATGATGATGATAATGTTGACAGACTGCATATAAAATTCGTGAAAATTAGCATTAAATCATAATTTTCATCGAGCCTGCGTGAAATCCTTCCAATATAACATTCGAATTGAAGAAGAAAACGTTTTTACGATCCGGCTGATGTGCATCTTTGACTTTTGCAGGTATATTCATTTCATTTCATGGCTCCATCAATGCTGCATCGTAAATATGGTGGTAAACAGAAGTAAATTGCACAATTACTCAAAATAAAGATGATTTGTCATCTTGTTATCACTTTGAAGACCATCTAGCACCATTTTATAGTATGGTGCGTGTTGAGTAAATCAAGTTCCGGTGCGTTTTCCTTCGAAAATTGTGAGTATCAATATGTTTGCTTAAAAAAGGCCAAAATGAACATTTATTGAATATTGGCGTCCTATACAACCAATTCTCTATTACCACCAGCATGATACAACCTTTCCTAAGTAAATTCACTTAATTTCCACTTTCATCTTAGTGAAAATCGCACATATTTACCATTTTCTGAAAAATGCAGCTGCGCAGGAGGTAACCTCTCCCTGTGGGTGCAAACTTGTTATGCATAATTTGCCATGAAAACATCTCCGATCCATATCAAAATAATAACACACGATTCAAGCAAAAGTTTCCACGGGAAATTATTAGTTTTTCTTTATGGACCAATTTGCCCAAAAAAGCGTCTGTTTTACTTGGAAAAATTGGAAACTATCCTCCTTCTAGTAGTTCTCACTTCGAAATGTAGGTGGCGAAAGCTTGGAAAAGTTTCACTGCAAGACGCCAATTGGGAATTGGCGTCTTGCAGTGAAACTTTTCCAAGCTTCCGCCTCCTACATTTCGAAGTGAGAACTACTAGAAGGAGGATAGTTTCCAAATTTTCAAAGTAAAACAGACGATTTTTGGGGCAAATCGGTCCATAAAGAAAAACTAATAATTTCCCGTGGAAACTTTTGCTTGAATCGTGTAAGAAAATGTGTTTGAAAACTAATTGTTATTGTTTCGGTATGGATCGGAGATGTTTTCATGGAAAATAATGCATAACAAGTTTGCACCCACAGGGAGAGGTTACCTCCTGCGCAGCTGCATTTTTCGGAAAATTGTGAATATGTGCGATTTCCACTAAGATGACAGTGGAAATTAAGTGAATTTACTTAGGAAAGGTTGTATCATGCTGGTGGTAATAGAGAATTGGTTGTATAGGACGCCAATATTCAATAAATGTTCATTTTGGCCTTTTCTAAGCAAACATATTGATACTCACAATTTTCGACGGAAAACGCAACGGAACTTGCTTTACTCAACACGCACCATACTATAAAATGGTGCCGGATGGTTTTGAAAGTGATAACAACATGACAAATCATCTTTATTTTGAGTAATTGAGCAATTTACTTCTGTTTACATCATATTTACGATGCAGCATTGATGGAGCCGCGAAATGAAATGAAAATATCTAATGAAAGCTCAACTGGAAAAGTCAAAGATGCACATCAGTCTGATCGTAAAAACGTTTTCTTCTTAAATTCGAATGTTATATTGGAAGGATTTTACACAGGCTTGATGAAAATTATGATTCAACGCTAATTTTCACGAATTTTATATGCAGTCTGTCAACATTATCATCATCATGCAGTGGCGACATCTACGTCGAGCGTTTACGGAAATCTTCCAATCGCACCACGAAATCACATGAACCTTATGTGTCCAACGAAGTTTATGTGATTTATCACATAGAATTCATGTGATCATGTGAATGTTATGTGAATTTCAGATAAAAATCATTAAATTTGTTATTGGAAAAATATCATGTGCGTTCCCAATGGAAACTATATGAAAACTTTTTTCAGTGTAGGAGATGAAGAAGGGCATGACGAGAAAAATAGTTTTGTAAAAGGTGACTAAGGTGTTCTAATGTGTCAAATTCATGACATCTATCTATTACAGTCGTTATAAATCAATGGAGACAGAGAGAAGGATGCGTAAATTCGATTTAATTCTACTACCTTATTTGCTTATCCTTGACAGATACGAGTATTTCGTCTAAAATGTGCAGACTTCTTCAGTGTCTTGTACTAATAAACGACTATTAGTACAACACACTGAAGAAGTCTGCACATTGTAGACGAAATACGCGTATCTTTCGATGATAAGTAAATAAGATAGATCCTTCTCTTTCTCTTTATACAGGTATTCCACTAAAACGCTGTCCAGACTGGAGTGTTATAACTTGTTATAACGGTTGTCAACTAATTGCAACACAGAAACCACCATCAAGATAGCGCTATAACATGTTATAACTCTGTAGTCTGAACGTACTATAAGACGCACACATTCATCGGGACTCAATGGATACGCATGGTAGTCTAGTCGCATAGGAGTATTGAGCGAAAACCCAAAACTTGATAACTTCAAAAAAATATAAAAACATATTACGCCCATGAAAACCATAGTGTATTTCAATACAGAATTCCAATTTTTAATATCATTATTTTTTTTCCTAAAAAATATTTTTAATAGTCTTTCATTCTTATTTTTATCTTTGAATCAGTGGTTCAAAAGTTATGAATTTTCGAAAAAAAAGTCGGCTTTGACTATTTTGGACCACCGTTATAACAAAATAAAAAACGGGTCTAATATTTTGCGATAAGGAACGAAAATACCAATTTTTACAAAATTCTAAGAACCACATACCATAGAGGTAACTCTAAGACAAGAAGGTCCCGAAGAAAATGTGCTCAACTATTTGGCTCAGCTCTGGTACTCTCTTCGGTTCCAAGCTAATCGATGCACTCCTAGAAACATAGGAAAATCCGCGAACCCCTCATTTTATCTGTCAAACTTTCATAGCAAATCAAAACAAACATAGAATTTCGACTAGAATGGGGTCCGTTAATCGATTTGCTTGGGACCAATAGGATAGTCAAGTAGTGAGCCAATTTAAAATTGTAAACGGTCTCACCAACTTTCGCTGTTTCTTCACTCTTCTGTCCAATTTTTGTGCCTATTTGTGAACACGTTGTCCTTCTCTGCATTGCTGCTAGTCTCTTCTAGTCTCCTGAAAGTCGCCCATGTTATTTATGATGTTTTCCACACTATTTTGATACGCATTATCTTTGTATGATCGGATATCAAAATATTATCAAAATTATTTCAAATTATGTTTTTGAAATCATGTTGATAACATTTTTCATATTTTTTTTTTATCGAGGATGAGTTTATATGTTGATGTTTTTAAAAATTTAATTGATAGTAAAACATGATATTTGATATAACAAAGAAAAATTTGTAAAAATTAACACTTTAGGCATTTATTGTAACACAGTCTACACTGATTGACGACAAACAAATAAATAAAAAAGCAATCA